AGAAACACACACACACACGCACACCTAGCATAGAGATTCATTTTGGCGTGCTGGAGCTAAGCCGGGAAGAGGGAAGGAGCAGAAGGGGCATAATAAACACACGTGCTTTTCATTTGGCCAAGAGCGAAAGAATAATACGAAAAAATGCTTTGGACCAGCGGAAGTTTGAATGCTCTATGAGCCATAAGCATACTTATGTATGTGACTATATATTATCAAATGGAAATTAATATAATAATAATAGTAGTAAATTACAGTAGTAGTAGTAGTAGAAGATAGCAGGTAGCAATAGTAGTAAATTGCAGTAGTAATAGTAATTGGTAGTAATAGTAGTAAATATCAGTAGTAATAGTAGTAGTAGCAGTAGTATTTAATAGTCGTAGTAGTAGATAGTAGTAGTAGGTAGTAACAGTAGTAGTAAATAGTAGTAGTATATGGTAGTAATAGTAGTAGTAGTAGATAGTAGTAGTATAAGGTAGTAATAGTAGTAGTAGTAGTATATGGTAGTAATAGTAGTAGTAGTAGTAGATAGTAGTAGTATATGGTAGTAATAGTAGTAGTAGTAGATAGTAGTAGTATATGGTAGTAATAGTAGTAGTAGTAGTATATGGTAGTAATAGTAGTAGTAAATAGTCGTAGTAGTATACAATAGTAGTAATAGTGGTATAGTTGACACTAATAGTAGTAAAACTTGATAGCTGTAGTAGATAGTAGGAGTGAGAGTAGGAGGAATGAAAGTACTATATAGTATATAATATTAGTGGTAAATAGTGGAGTACTAGAGAGTAGTAGTAGTAGTAGCAGGTAGCAATAGTTGTAGTAGTCGTAGGGCTTTAATGCTAGACTGTTAAAATAGTAGTAAAAAATCTCTTCAGCACAGATTGATTAACAAAGGCATAATACCCGCCGTTAGGGCATTGAGAGAAAGAGACGGCCATAATAGAGACTCGACTGGGCTAAGACGATTTGTGTGCACTATGGGAAGGCAGGCACAGGCAGAGGGAGGAGAGAGGCGGGATTACGGGCAGTCCCTGGTGAGGAATGCGATGTGGGGCTGATGGAAAGAAGAAGTTTGCCTCGAGCATTCACACGCCATAGCTACAGAGCCATGACATGAAGACATGAGAAACGACGCTGACGACGACGACGACGACGACGACTGCGATTGCTTTTCACTTTGAGGCTCCATCTAAGCGGCCCAAAACTATGCCCCAGTTCCCCCTCCGGCTGCCCCTGGCGCCCTGCACCTCCTGCTGGCTGCTCCAACTGGCATTTTATGATACGATTTTATTTTTTATTTGCCCATGTCTGAAACGAAGCTCAGCTCTCGGCACTGAGAACGCGCGTCCTGCCATTGTAATGCAAACTGTCAACAAGACCGCAAATGCTCGAGGCTCACGCATTTGTTGTTCTTATTGTTCTTGTTGTTGTTGTTGTTGTTTTTGTTGTTATTGTTGCTATTCTTGTTGTCGCATTTGATGCTGTCAGAAGTCGTTGGGCCACAGGAATTTGGATGGGAAAATAGTGCAGAGTGCTGCTCAGCTAAGCTAAGCTGCCATTGCAATCCATTTGTAAGGGTAGTATTTCAAGCGTTTATACATGGGCATCAAATGGTATACAGTAAATAATGTACGATATATAAGATCTATATGCTAATGTAACACATGATATCTGGTTTGTTTGATTGATCCCAGCAAATGCAAGAAATTGCATTCCTTTTGCGCATTTCGAGAATCTCCTGAGCTATCAATAGCAAGTTATTTGGAAAAGCTCATCCTCGAACTTTCCTAAACTAAGACAAGTCTAAGCATTTGAATTTCGACTACAATTGAAAACAACTGCCAGCCTGAAATTTCAATGATAAAAGAAAATTGTGAACCAGCTTGCAAATTGAATTGTAAATGTCCCAAGCTCATATTAGATCAAACAATTAACAATTACAGCATTTGATTTAAAACATTGAATTTTAGTTGCCTCAGCCAAGCTAGCCATTCGAGCTGTCTTCATTTACAGTGAACTGACAATTTTCCCAAATATTGTATTTAGCCATATACACATATACATACATATATGTATGTGCCCCAGCATCGAAAAATCAAATTGTCATTGGACTTGAATATCGAATGGTCAATGAGAATGTGGACAATTCATTCGCTTTGTATGTGTCGATTGATGCAGCAATAGACTCGACAATTTGTGCCAAATTAAATCGATGTCAACGTAGTTTTCGGCACTCAACAAAGCCGATGACTAAGGGGTCACGAGACCGGAGACGAATCTATGCGCTTTGTCACTTAACCCAGTTTACTTCCTCTAGCCAAATGAACTATCCTTTTGCTGACAATATATCCATTTATATACATACATATACACATGTATGTATAGAAGTTTACGTTGAAATGCAACTTTTAACTTTTAGCAACATTTCCATATATGTATGTGCATATACATATGTATATGTATATTTTCGTACATTGTGTTTAGCAAGTTTTACATTTTGTTGTTTGCTCAGCTGAACTTTGGACCCAAAAGCCATATGGCTTCAAGTTCTATTTCTAATCTCGGCTCTCAAATGAAATGGTTTTGTTGAAAAGTAGACACACTGCTGATTTTACCATCGAGTAGATCTAATTCATTCTCCGTATATAGCTTTTAGCATGCAGTTTCTAAGAGGTAGATTTTTATATATTCTTCACCAAGTATTTTTTCGCAATGTTCTTTAACGTGTAGCCTTTTGACATACATTTTTAACTTGTACTTTTTAGCGTAATATTACGCTTCATCAAGTACCTTTAAATAAATGTCTTTTGGCATGTACCTTTTTAGGTATTATTATTATTATTATTATTATTTTTTTTTTATTTGTCTTTTTTTTCTTCTTTTCTTTTTTAACAATTTTGAATGACCATATTCATATTCATATTCTGGTTAGCATGTACCTAGATATACCGGCATGTACCTTTTACTATAATTTTTATTTGCATTTCTATAACTGTATTTACAGCTGCGAAAAATAAAATAGCACCACTTGCAAACGCAAAGTTTAAGAAGTTCTCCTAGGTGCATTTATCAATGTATTGATCTAATTTTTTCTTGTATATAAGCAGAAAACAATTAATAATCGCAACAAGCAAGAATTATCCCAAAAATATTAATCGTTTTTATATAATTCAAAAAATTCTCAAAAAAGTCGTAAAAATGCCGAAAAAAATAATAGCACCACTAACCCTTTTCGAGTGAAAATCTATATTTTTCGCAGATTTGAATATCTTCAAAAGCACTAATTGATGAGATTTGTTGGTTATATATCTATTTTGATTAAAAAATTTTCAGAATTTGTGAAAATTTTCAAAAAAAATGGGTCGTGAAGAGCATTACACCACCGAACAACCCAATCTCATCAAAAAGTTGATTTCGGCTCAAAATTTTCACAGGAAAGTTGGTCATTTGATGGGTTGTTCAAATAAAATGATCCACAATGCATTAATCCATAAAAGAAATTAATGAAAAGCGCGGATTTCGTTGAGTTCTGACCCAAAATCATGTCACTCGTCTCATTTACGAGAGTAAAAGGATCCTTTTAAGCCGGCTACTCAACTGAAAAAGGACCTAAACATATCAGCAATGAACCAAACAGTACGGAAATATTTAAGACATCTCGATTTGAACACTTTCCGTTCAAGAAAAGTACCATATTTGAATATGAAACACATTTCCAAATGGATGCCGTTTGCAAGGGAAACACAAAAATTGGTCTACGCAGGAATGGAGAAACATACTTTTGAATAATGAAAGTAAGATGCTAATTTTTAGTGGAAAAGGATCGCGGTCCTACGTGAGACATCCACAGAACTTAGAATTCGGTCCTAGATATACAAAAAAACCCTTAAACATGGCGGATCAAGTGTATTAGTATGAGACTGCTTTTTTGCAAACGCCATCCGTTTGGAAATGTGTTTTATATTCAAATATGGTACTTTTCTTGAACGGAAAGTGTTCAAATCGTGATATCTTAAATATTTCCATACTGTTTGGTTCATTGCTGATGTGTTTAGGTCCTTTTTCAGTTGAGTAGCCGGCTTAAAAGGATCCTTTTACTCTCGTAAATGAGACGAGTGACATGATTTTGGGTCAGAACTCAACGAAATCCGCGCTTTTCATTAATTTCTTTTATGGATTAATGCATTGTGGATCATTTTATTTGAACAACCCATCAAATGACCAACTTTCCTGTGAAAATTTTGAGCCGAAATCAACTTTTTGATGAGATTGGGTTGTTCGGTGGTGTAATGCTCTTCACGACCCATTTTTTTTGAAAATTTTCACAAATTCTGAAAATTTTTTAATCAAAATAGATATATAACCAACAAATCTCATCAATTAGTGCTTTTGAAGATATTCAAATCTGCGAAAAATATAGATTTTCACTCGAAAAGGGTTAGTGGTGCTATTATTTTTTTCGGCATTTTTACGACTTTTTTTGAGAATTTTTGAATTATATAAAAACGATTAATATTTTTGGGATAATTCTTGCTTGTTGCGATTATTAATTGTTTTCTGCTTATATACAAGAAAAAATTAGATCAATACATTGATAAATGCACCTAGGAGAACTTCTTAAACTTTGCGTTTGCAAGTGGTGCTATTTTATTTTTCGCAACTGTATATACATTTAAGCCTGTTTTATTCCTATCATCAATTATCATGTACCTGTCTACAAGGACTTATACATATATATTGTCCCTATTGTATATATTATCCCTAGTTGTCAAGCCCCCACCTATTCATATATTAATTTATATATTTCCCCTATTTTAGCATAGCTCTAGACGTGTAATTTCATTTTTCTACATAGTCACGAGAAGTGCAATCAAAATTATTAATTTTTCATTGACTATTCCATTAGGTAAAATTTACCATTGACCTATTAAATTTAAAATAATAAAACCCATACATATATCTTATTTTTGCACATTCCTGTAAGGATCATTGCTACTTACTTTGCATGTGACATAGTCCCACAGAGAATTGCATCAGCTCCGGCATTTGTCTAAGTATCTCTTCGGTGACCAAATGGACGCCGCGATGCTGCGGCCTTAGATTGATTTTGCGCTGAAACCAGGCGGAGCCGAACAGCAAGCCAGCCGCATTGCCATCGCCAGCGCCAGCGCCGGCGCCAGCGATGCCGCCGCGTCCGCCTCTATGATTGGCCGATGCCATGGTGCTGTTGGAGGAGCTGCTGCGTATGTTGCTATTGCGACTGACGCTTTGCTTAATGTTGGCTGTGCCACCGCCGCCTCCAGCAACTCCAATGCCGCCGCCACCACCGCCTCCACCACCACCACCGCCACCAGCGACGCCGGCGCAGCCAGCTCCACCGCTGCCGCTGGTCGCTTTCGTGTTGCCGGCGTTTGGATTACTGCTGCTACTACGACGCCGATGGCCGCTGCGTCCGCCGCTGCGTGCTGTTGTCGCTGTTGCTGTTGCTGATGCTGTTGATACCGCTGCTGCTGCTGCTGCTCCTCCTGGTGGTGGACTCTGCGTGGATGCTTGACGCTGTGTTTTTACCTTGGACACGGCGGCGGCGGCGGCGGCAGCAGCGGCTGATGTCGTGGGTTTTGCTGACGACGACGTTGTGACGCCTCTTTGGCTCGGGGCTCCAGTCAGGACGAGGACGACAGCAACGACGACGACGGCTGCAGCTCCTCACGCACACGCACTCGAGCACCTACACACACTTGCACATACACACGCACACACCCGTCACAAAAGGGTGTCTTTTTCTTTAATTTTTTTTTTCTCTCTTCACTTTGAGCACTTTTTCTAGCAACTTATTTTTGTATGCAATTAAATTTATTTAAACTTTTTAAGCTACTTGATCTTCTTGACAGATTCTGTAATGAGAGTAAGAAACAAATTAAGTAAAATTAATTTTTGTGAATACATTTTAAAAATATTTTTGATATGTATATATGTATATGTATATTCAAAAAATCTTTTTTAATTTTCCGACATTTTCCGAGATGCAGCATAGCTTGAACTAAATCTAATATTTTTATTAATTTGTGTCTTAAGTCGGCTTCACTCTCAACTAAAGCCCTAAAAGGCCATTTCTTGCTTGGCAGTATAGTGATTATTTTACCTTTGGCTGTATCAAATAAATCACATTTATTGTATGTCTCTCTCACAGCCAATATGAAAGTCGCCCACAATCAACAAGTTTTAATTGCGTCCAGTAAATAACAACACAGCAAGCTCTCAACCACATTTACTGTTTATGGTTATGATTATCAGCAGCAGCAGCTGGTGTTGACCTTGCCAATCGATTGAGCGAAGGGCCAATAATGGGAACTAGACACCGTATTAGTTAAATCTATGAAAATGGCGAGAAAAACAAATGCTTAAAGAAAGAGAGAAAGAGTGAGAAATAGAGGCAAATAGTGTATAACAACTGTTATAGGCGGTATGCAAATCCAATTCCAATTAGACAACACAATCAACAGAGATGGGGAAAAGGGAATAAAATAACACGAGAATTTGAAAAGATAATATATACATATCGATATTATTTAAATATATCGGCACAGCATAAAGATCAATTAGCATTTTGTTTTTAGAAAAAAAAAAAAAAACAATATAATTAGTACTGAAAGTAATATCCAATATTTATAGATACTCTAAAAAGAGATGAAAATGAAATATCTGTGATATATACATATGTATGTATGTATACCTTAAATATACAGTCTTAGCTTTCTCGCTCATTTCTATTTTGACTCTATTTAAAGTCTGGTCACTCTTAGCTGAAAGGAGTTCAAAGCAGCACACAAGCATACTCACACCCATAGACATGCAGGTCACAATAGACAATTGTACAAGAAAGAAAAAACAAAGCTAAAAGTCAAAAAGTGGAGTAAATTTGTTGCAGCACAATTGGGCACGTGTCGCAGCAACTGAAGCTCGAAGGAGTCGACAGGTGGAGCAGGGACATGGCAGGTTAGCTGGTGCACAAATCGGAGCAGTGTTCACGACTTAAGGTGGGAAATAAACACACACACATGCATACAAGCACAAACAGCTGCAAGCAGAAGTGTGTAGGCACAAGGAATCAACGAAAAATGGTGTTCAAGTATCGTAGTTCACAAGTTGAGTGCACTCACACATACAAACACAAACACACAAATGCTTAAAGAGAGAGAGAGAGGCAAAAGCAATCGAAATGCATTTGAATTGAGCAGCGAGCGCTGATTGCATATATACATGTGCACGTGTGTGAACGAGCGTGTTTATGTGTGCGTGTGGGTGTATGCTCTATAATAATAATAAAAAAAAAAGGTATTAAAAAAAGGCGCAACCAACAACAAATTTATATAAAAAGGGCAGAGCACTTGCCACACAAAACGATTTACACGACACTAAAGCTAAAAACGGAATAAAAAGAAATTGAGGAGGTGAGAGAGCGACTTCATGGATGAGAGTAGCAGCAGAAGCAGCTACAACAATAACAGGCGCGTTAAGGCCGCGGCAGGTACTTTTTAATGGTGCTACTGTTCAAATTTGCATATGCTTTAAATATTTAATGTAATACAAAAAGAGGAGACAAGTACCCAAGCTAAAGGGATCTGGCAACAACAACGCGACGCACAATGTGCCAATTGGGCAGCTGCTGCACAATCCAATTGGAATACTCAATGGCAGGCGGAAAAGTGGTCAAAAAACAAAAAGAAAAATGAAGGAACGCAAGGCATATACAAATATGCAGCAAAATGCTCGCGCATTTGGCAAAAAATCAATTTTCCGTGTGATTGCCAAATGCAATTGCCGCAAGAATGAGGCGCAACAACACACAGGCACACACACACATGGGGACACACATGACAAAAAAAAAGGAGTGAAGAAAAGTGAAACGAATCGAAGAAAACCTTCTTGGGTGTCCCTGGACAGACACGACACGAGTCAATTGCAGCCCTAGAAAACAGCCTTACAGCTGTGTAGCACGCCTTACGCAGTGTTTTGTTGCCTGTTTTGCCTTTTGGCTTTTCCATAAGTTTTACTGTTAATTATTGACATAACAAATGCGGCCCCAACTAGAACTGATGACGGCAACAACAGCAGATCCAATCAGAACCACCACTCTCACACACATACACACACACATAAGCGCTTGCTGGAGAAAAAGAGAAGCGAAAAGGCACACGCGAAATTGCTTATATTAAACTTGACGAAATAAAAGGGCGCACATAAAGTCAGGCATATGAAACTAGCTGTATAATTTTCAACATTTATTGTCCTTTCTGTGGGTTGTTTTGTGCAAGCGAAATGGAATGAAAATGAATGAAAATGTGAGCCTACCGCACTCTATTTTATTTGGATTGACACGCACACACACACAAATCACGTAAGCATCAAATTTAAATGCACTTAATTACATTTAATTCGTGTTTGCTTTTGTTTTTTATATGGAGAGGACGGCGAAGGGCGGCCGACCAGGCAAAGTGCCGCTGTAACACAAACCGTACGTACGTGCGCGTCCGTCTGACAGTCCCATTGGATGCGCTCTCTGCTGCTGCTTCTTCTACTACTTGTTTTTAGTTATGCGTGTGCGCCAAGTTTCGCGTGCCAATAGTTTTTGCACGTGCAGCGATACTATCGATATGTTTCTTTTGAGCTCATCGACAATTATCTAAAAGCAGTAATTTGAAATCAAGAGATAGCAAAATAGTCATATGCGTTAAAAGCGGAGCCAAGTGCAGAAAGCCTATACTTTAACTGCTTTTCGATCGATAAATAGCGCGTAATTATCGATATACGGACAAAACCGTGCAATCGCTAGTGATTGGCGGCCAAAACAAAAAATGAAATTTCAGTTAGCTAATGGCTGTGGTTTTATAAATAAGAAATAAAAAGAATAAGCGGTGCTTACTTTGCTGTTGTTTATTTTGTTGGTGTTTGTTATAATTATTAGTTTAATTAAATTCACTGCGTGGGTGGGCGAGTTGTGTGCTGATAAAAGTGCTGTTGCTGCTGACGGCGCATTGGCAATGCGCACTTGCTGTGATTTATATTGTTACCGATATCGAGATCTGTGTGCATTTTGTTTAGTTGCAAAATTGCTTCATTCGCCAACAACAATAACAGCAGGACAACAGCAACAACAACCAGCAGCAAAGAGCTTTGGCTACATTTGTGCGTAATGTGCGTTGGTGTTAGTAGGTCGTATAACTGGATTCGGCGGCGGCTAAATATAACGGTTGTCGTCGTTTTCGTTACGTTAGTTGTTGTTGTTGTTATATTTCGGTTACACTCGTTACTCTTTTTCTCTTCTCTCTGCTCTTCTATTTTTCCTTTTCTTCTTTTTTATATGGCCAATTCACAAAATGTACATTTTTTACACCTTTCACACACACCCACGCATTTTACACTCACACAGTGAAGGCGCGCGCGCGTTGCCTTCGCTTCGTCCTTTTTTCTGCTCTTTTTTTCGCACACACTCCCACACCTATGCGAAATTGCGGAGGTCGGGTGTTGTTGCTGGCTCTAAATATATATATTTATATATATATATTTATACAAATTTATATTTTTTCTATTAATTTTTATTTTATATATGCTTTATTTACACAATTTGGATGAAAACAGTTTTCTTTGATTTTTCGCTCTGGCTTGGCACACATGGCAAACGGTAAAACTTTTTCCACTCTCAATATGTGTGTGTGTGGCCTCTGAGATCTGGTGGTATTGCCTATATATATATATATATTGCTCTATGCGAGGCAATAACGTTTTTTCTTTCTTGTTTCGTTTTTCAATAAAACTCCATGGCCCTATTATGTACTCAACACACACACATGCTCACTTACTCACACTCCCGCACGCACAGGCACACACACGCCCGTTACGAATACGTACAATGGAACGACTACAGCAATTGCAGTTTCTACTAATGATCTTTTTTTTTATATGTATTTTTTCTTCGGTTAAATCTTTTTAAACTGTTTAAATAGAGTTATTTTCTTCTTCTTTCTCTTGTGATTTTATGAATTGTATGTTTCTCTTGTTTGAATTCTTTTTGGCCTGCGACGAGCCCAGCGTGTGTGCCACCGAACGAGAGCCTCAACTGAAACTGAGCAGCGCTGTGGCAAGGATAAGCATATATTTTTGTTGAATGAGTGCCTCAATGAAAGCTGCCATGTGTGTGGCATCGCCTATATATGAATATATGTGTGTGTGTGTGTGAGTGTGCGTCCATTGCAACTCGTTCGTTTTTAACGGTAACACTGCTCTGTGCACAGGCGCACGATTGGGCGAGTCTGGCAGCGTGTTCATTGTGAATACTGCGGCGTTGCCACATTTGATTTTACGTAAGGCAACGTAAAGTCGTGAGTTTAAAGTGTGTTACGTTAACGTTATCTATTTACAGTTTTCACATTGAGCTTTCATATTTATTTTTTTTTAGGTCATTGGGGCAGGACACAGTGGAGCGAATATACATAAACAAAATTAATGGCAATTAGAATTCATTAAAAAATAGTTTCGTTAAAAAAACTCTATTGATATATTTGAAAAATTTTATTTAAATATTTGTTTTTATAGAAATTTGTAATTGATTTAATAAATATGTTCTTCTAGATCGATTTTTATTTATATCTTTTATCACTTCCCAGCCTAACCTGCTTTTTATTTTCATTATTAATAAAGGTCATCTATCAATTCAATATGTGTAATTGCAATCACATAATGTTTAACGCCCGCGACAAACACGCAAAGCGCGACAGAATGAGTGAGGGAGAAAAAGAGAAAGTAAATGCCACAGTCATTAGGCTGACACCCAGTCGGGCCCCTTCTCCCCCGCTCATGCCCTTCTTCACCATTGCCGTTTTCATAGCTGGCAAAAAGTCAACAAATTAAATATCTAACAAACTAGTTTGGGGGCGAGTCCTGCTAGCGCTGGTAGCTCCTAGCTACTAGCTGGTCTACTGGGTGTGCCCAGCATGTGGCGCCCTCTTGTAACTAACCATATGCATGTTGTCTCCTGTTGGGGTTACGGTCGCTACTTATAAAGTCGCTCTCGCTGTCTCCCTTTGGCTATCTGTTAGCTAGTAGTATGCAAAATTACTTTGTCCTGCTGTGGTGGCACGCGGCTAACGGTATGCTTCAGTTTTAACAACCGCACCCAGTTCTGGTAAGGTGTCCATTGTCCCCTACATTGTTTAAGAAATATCTAGCAGTACTATGAAGTATGAATTAGCAGCGCATCTAATGGGGTATATGGACTTGAGTTTTGTATTCAAATGAGCTGAATGCGGTTTTTATAGTATAAAATGAAAATTTATATTCGATTTTAAAACTGAATATTTAATTTCCAAATCAAGAATTTGCACTATTAGTTATTATTTAACACCTTAACGCTACACTTTCAATATACAGGGTGTGTCCAGTTCAATTGTTATTTTTCGAAAAATGTTTTTAAAATCGAAAATGCTGTTAAACAGCATAATTCCAGTTGAAGTGGAATATTTCTAGGATATTTAAGAATCTTTCAATCACATTCCGTACAGGGTGGGTCGCGATTAGTCGCAGCCCAAAGGCTCGCTCATTTGTTTGTATACTTTTAGCACCCAGTTCAGTCAAAGAAATATTGAGTGTGGCTAAATGAAATGAACAGTTCGAATTGGCCAGGCCACACAGCCAGACGTGAAATTGCGGCTACTCCAAATATAAGGGATCTAAGTAAATAGAAATCGAATATGGACGATGATACGGATATCTTTGATATAGATCCCAAGGAAGCGTGGCTGGAAAAAATTACCATTGGCGGCTTTCGACGATGGCACATCATAGCCGCTGTCCTGGGCATACTAATGAGTATTAGTGAGTGTTTCCCTGTCCACCGTTGCATATATGCAAGTCTGTGCTGAAATACAGGGTATCTTTGCAGTGATCATGGTCTGTTGTTGCATTCGATTCCGTATACCGCGCACCAAACAGGAAATCGAAGCTGATTATCAACGCAAGCAAATTACCAAAAAGTTTCGCGAGAAACTGCAACAGATTAAAAACTCCGAAATGGATGATATGGATCTGCAGAAAGGTAAGACATTTATAAAGTAATATAAATATATTTATATGTTTATGGAGCAATATCTAAAAACTCTAAAACAACGATTTCTGTGTATTATTTGCCCCAGTTTCTACTCCATTGTCACCCATATGCGAATGCCAAGCCCTTTTTCATATAAATTTTTTTTCAAGTTTAGTTTTTCCTAGTATCCTTTTTTTTTGTGTTTCGTAGACTTACGCATGTGTGTGTATGTATGTTACTCGTAAAATATGATAAACGATGCCTTCAGCTTGTCTAAGCCTACAACATAGTGCACGCTAGTTTCAATTATACATACAGCGAAAGCTCTATTAAACAAACAGTTAAGAGGTTGATAAAAAAAGTACATATGTATATGGCTATATTATATATAAATATATATATATATGTATATCTGATTCAAAATACTGCGGGGAGCACAAAAAAAAAAAACAAAAAAAAAAAAAAAAAGTAGGAATAATAATAATAGTTAAAGCATTGAAAATATAAATATTAAATATATAATATTTTTAATTTTAAAGTTTTAAAGCTCAAAAAAGTAAAGTTTTCGTAAAGTTCCTAGCTTTATTTTTAGCTTCAGGCGATATTACGTCATACAACATATTTCTCTATAAATATTTATTATTATTATTATTACAAAATACCCAAAGAGGATGGACGATGGATATATATGTAAATTTTCATAGAAACCCTTTTTAACTTGATCCATATACAAATAAATATTCATAGAGCTTTCGGTGTCTATTTAACTGAACTGAACTATATAAATAACACTCACTTCTATCACTTTTCTATCACGCAGCACTTGCTTATATCAAATTGGAGCAATATGATGATCCCTAGGCCTCTCTCTCTCTCTCTCTCTCTGTAAATTTCTCATATGCAACATTTCACCAAAAACGCACATGAAATCTATTGGAATACATTTATGATTCAATAATAATTATTATAACAAAGGCACTGCCAATGTAAGTAGCTCTATCTAAGTATTACGCATATGTATTGATAAATATATATGTATATTTAGATATATATTCATTCTAGATCTGTTCACTCTCTATTGCAGTCTGTGCGCGTATTCAGAGTGACTATCTGAACCTGCAGGCCAGTGTGGAGAGCATGAACGAGAAGCAGAATGTTAAATTTAAGATCTGATTTGTTATACTAAACTGTTATACTTATCTATATATATATATACCAATACAGTTATAACAACACTAGTCCAGAATTTTAATTTGTTACTTTTATTGCATTCGGTTTTATCGCTTTTAATTGAAACAAAATATTTCCATTAGTTTTTTTTTTTGTTTTGTTTAATTTTAAATTGGATTTATTAAAGTATCAAAGTTTTTATTTTTAGTATTTTTGTTCTTTCTTTTCTCTTTTTTTTTAATTCTCTACATATACAGGCTAGGGGGTTGTCTGATTTTGGGCAGCATTACGACAATTGCGACATTAACAGATTGATTTTTGCTTTCCTTTGCGACTTGACTGTTTCACTTAGATTTATTAGGCATTTAGTTATAAAAATGTTTCTGTTTGACAATTGTTTAGTGCTTGATATACATAATGTATGACTTTTGGCGATGACTGTAACAAATTAACTCACACTTGATTCTGTTTCACTTACTACTGACTCGACAAATACACACAATTTCAATTATTTAACGCATAACTATTATATTTGTTTTGTTTTATTGTTCATTAACTTGCTTCGGCTTAGAGTTAGCTCTCTTGGAATACTTTCTTTTAATTTCTGTTTACTGTTTGGGCTTATTTTCACCATTTAGTTTTGGAAACATTTGCTTTCATTTGCCAAAAATTCTGCTGTTTATCTCAATTCTTTTTGTTTTTTAATACACTTTTTTTTTTTTTATTTTTATATTTATATATAAAAACAACTAATTATACTGAGCGCATCATTCTTTGCGTATGAATGTTCTCCCCCTATAAATAAAGAGTATTATTAATATTGTAATAAAGCATTCTATAAAAACTGTTATATAGCTTACGTGATAGTCTTCTTTTCCGTACTCTTCGATTCGGGCCTTGCACGGTTTAGCACCTTGAGGAAGTCTGAAGTTTTTGCGCGCATGCGGGAATGAATATACGCCTTTGAACACTATTATAAAGTGGGAATGTATTAATATATATATATATATATATATATTACAGACTATACTCTGATCTGATACGAACCTTAATGTGATAATGCAAATAGTCTCGGAACATGTGTATTAAATTTATAGTATTATCCCGGGTCTCCTTGTTGGTATGTCGAGGGAATAGCACTGCAAAAATTAACCAAATATAATTAGTTAGTTTAATTGGAATGGACTAGGCTTAAGTGTGTATAATAGATTTAGTGGAGACTAAAACAAGTGACAAAGCAAACTTTGTTAAACAGATTGCCATTCGCATAACCATTTAGTCAATTTATCAGAGATTAAAACAATTGTACACGAACACAAGTCATCTGTTGTAATATGATTTATTAAACAGGATGCCGTTCGTCTTTGGGTTTATTTGGGAGTATTTGAGACACAGATCGAGAGGAAATCCCTGAATATGCCACTTTGACTCCACAGAATATAACAGATTGGGTTAGGTGTACACGAACACAAGTCATCTGTTGTAATATGATTTATTAAACAGGATGCCGTTCGTCTTTGGGTTTATTTGGGAGTATTTGAGACACAGATCGAGAGGAAATCCCTGAATATGCCACTTTGACTCCACAGAATATAACAGATTGGGTTAAGTGTACACGAACACAAGTCATCTGTTGTAATATGAATAATTAAACAGGATGCCGTTCGTCTATAAATTGATTTTGGAGCATTTGAGACACAAATCGTAATTTATATTTCAAAATATGCCACTTTGACTCCGTGGGTTGTAGATCAGAGCTTTAGCAAGTGGATGAGTTACGTACCGAATGTAACATATCCAATGTTATCGCCCACCCGGGCATCGCTATTAGCCAGTTCCAAAGGTGGTTCACGATGCGAGAAGAGCACTTGTGGCGCTGTATGCGATGCACGTCGTCCTTCCCTCAATTCCTGCATAAATACCTTGCCAATGATTACATCGTCCTCGTCCCTAAAAATGGTGCTGAACACTACGGTGACACGATCAGGCTTTGCCTCCACATAACTATCGATAAAGGTTAGATTAACTAAACTATAGATTTTAGTTATATTATATGTACTGCTCACAGTGTCTCATCGTTGCGGTAGTTAATGACTGCTCGCTTTTGGGTCTCTTCGCCCTGTTCCTGGAAGTCAAAATATTTCTCGAACACAGAGGCGAAACAATTGCGTTTTAGCAGTCCAATTCTCTTTGCAATCTGCTCCCAGTCCGAGGGTATATCCTCAAGATTAATAAGTACAGAAACATTGTAACCTAAAAGCAATTTGAAAACATTTAATTTCGATACACATTATTGTACCAAAATATTTGTTCGTACCTTTTTCTGTCTCAGTTAACAGACTTCCGTATTCTCGCTTCAGCAACTCATCGGCTCCATGTTCCTGCAGCTGTTTGTAGAACTTAAGCGAAATGCTTATCTATTTAAATTGCAAAATATGTTTTCGTTATTCAATAGTTAGCAATGAATAGTACTAAATTAAAAACATTTATAAGACTCACCCGCACTTTTGTTTTATCACCATTCACATTGGAAATATGATATAATACACTGTCGAAATCTGCGATTAATATATCTATCGATTCTGGTTTGAGTCTGCAATGAAAAATTTAATAGAATTGTAATAATGTATTAATAAACAATTTCCTTCATTCCATATCTTATCATACGCATGCCTAGCTGATAATATACAAAATAGAAATATTGTATGATTAATAAAGTTCTTAAATCGGATCTTAATAGTTTGAGTTTGTGTTTGGGTTTATTTGAGAGTATTTCCGATACACGAAATGCCAATATGGCTCCGAGGAGTATAACAGATTTAGGGTATTGTACACGAACACAAGTCATCTGTATTAATATGATTAATTAAACAGGATGCCGTTCGTCTTTAGGTTTATTTGGGAGTATTTGAGACACAGATCGAGAGGAAATCTCAGAATATGCCACTTTGACTCCACAGAATATAACAGATTGGGTTAGGTGTACACGAACACAAGTCATCTGTTGTAATATGATTCATTAAACAGGATGCCGTTCGTCTTTGGGTTTATTTGGGAGTATTTGAGACACAGATCGAGAGGAAATCCCGGAATATGCCACTTTGACTCCACAGAATATAACAGATTGGGTTAGGTGTACACGAACACAAGTCATCTGTATTAATATGATTAATTAAACAGGATGCCGTTCGTCTTTAGGTTTATTTGGGAGTATTTGAGACACAGATCGAGAGGAAATCCCGGAATATGCCACTTTGACTCCACAGAATATAACAGATTGGGTTAGGTGTACACGAACACAAGTCATCTGTTGTAATATAATTAATTAAACAGGATGCCGTTCGTCTTTGGGTTTATTTGGGAGTATTTGAGACACAGATCGAGAGGAAATCCCGGAATATGCCACTTTGACTCCACAGAATATAACAGATTGGGTTAGGTGTACACGAACACAAGTCATCTGTTTTAATATAATTAATTAAACAGGATGCCGTTCGTCTTTGGGTTTATTTGGGAGTATTTGAGACACAGATCGAGAGGAAATCCCAGAATATGCCACTTTGACTCCACATAATATAACAGAATTTGTCAGTTGTACACGAACACAAGTCATCTGTTGTAATATAATTCATTAAACAGGATGCCGTTCGTCTTTGGGTTGATTTTGGAGCATTTGAGACACAGATTAGAATAATCCAAAATATGCCACTTTGACTCCACCGAGTATAGCATTGAGTGTTTTGTGTTTCTTTGGCAGTCGGTACCCTTTCGGAGACTGCGGCGATGACTCAAGTGCATTTGTTATTTGAGCTCGTGTGCGTGTGTGTGAAAGAGAGAGGTGTTTAACGTATAACGGGGGGGATTATGCATTATGATGCGATAAACAAGCTAAAATAACTCAATAAATACTGTGTGCTTGGCTCCGGGTGATGGGAGCATAGTCACTTACTCATACACTTACACATACGCTCACACGCACACTGATTAGAGTGCATGAGTGTACGTCAAGTTCGAACTACACCCGATTTTTAAGGCTCTTCAATGAGTGTGTGTGCGTGTAAAGTATGCTGATAATCGGAACGAGCATTGATAACACAGGCATAAGGCAAGAAAATAGATAAAAATAAAATAGAAAATGGGGGCAATTTTACAGTTAGAGCGAACGAGACGTAGAATAGAGGACTCACCCAGCCAGTGCATTGCGGTATTTAACCAGGAGCGTTTCCTCGATGATGCGATTATTGATTTCCAGCAATATCATCTTGATTTAATGTGTTTGTTTGTTTTTTTTTTTTCGATATTAAATTTAGCTGTGCTTAATTAGCAAATAACCAAAAAGCGATGACAAATTTATGACGTTGCTTTTGCCGCTCCGGCTGCGAATGCGGCGCTCTTTAGTGCGGTAACTGTTTCTTTGCTGCCGCTGCCGCCTCTGCTGCTTCTGCCGTTGTCGCAGTCGCTGCTGCGAACACGTTTGTTGGTGTTGGTGTGAGAGACACTGTTACTTATTATGGGGGAGATTGCTGGACTGGCTGCTCCAACTCACCAACACACAGGCATTCGTACATGCACACATATGAAGAAAAAACAACATAAATACATACACACAAGCCTTGGTATATTTATATGAATATAAATGTGTGTGTGTATGCGCGTGTAGCGTATTTAATGAATCAACAACAAAAAATGGGCGCAGCGTTTGCTGTCGGCTTTTTTTGGCTGATCTCCGGGCGCACACACACTTGCAAATTCCAACACACACACAATCACGCTTGCTGCCTCAGCAATTTTCTTTTACAATGTTCACACTTCAGTTATGGTGTGTGTGTGGGGTTTCTTTTGCTTTGCAGTTTATTGTCTGCTGCAGCTATAATTTTCACTAATTGCAATTATTCATTTATTGTAAAAGTAGCAAAAATGTGCAATACGCGTATCCATGTGGCCAGGTACTTGGCACTTGTGTGTGGCCAGCCAAAACGAATGGCTTAGCGATGTAAGTATCGGAGTACTATTATGTGCTCGATATACGTACATATATCGATAGGGGCACGTAGCCCTGGCATAAGCAGAGTTGTAACACTAACTCTCTGGTTAGTGGTTGTAAACAGTAAATAAATAAAGTCCGTTTGCTTGTTATTTTAGTGTTTGGTTAAGTAAAACAAATAAATGGATGACGTTGAGTTGATTAAATTGATTGAAAAGTATCCAATACTCTATGATAAGGACAGTGCGCGCAGTGCCAAGAATGCAGCCAACAAGGACGCAGCGTGGAAAACCATTTCCCTAAAATTGGGAGCCAGCGAGCGAGCCTGCATTACCCGTTGGAAAAGCATTCGAGATCGCTTCGGTAAGGAGTTTCGTCGGTTCCAGGAGAATCCCGACAGTCCCACCTATTGGGATATGTTTCCACGTCTGCTCTTCCTCAAGGATCACTACAAACATGGTTTGGTTAAGCATGAAAATTTGGATGCAATGAAATTCGAGCCGCGGCATCGAAAGCCACGACGAACGCGACTGGAGGATCAGGAGAAGAAGCAGCGGGAGGAGGATTACGTGGAGAATGCAGAGGATATTGAGCTATGCAAGCAGCTCATTGAGCTGGTCAAACTTCATCCCGTGCTCTATGATAGGCATAAAATAAGAATCTCCAAGAATTTATCGGCGAAAAATGATGCCTGGCGAGCGATCTCTGAGAGCCTGAGCGTTTCGGGTAGAGTAGAGTATTTGGTGAACCTTCTTTATTACTATAAATATTCTTTTTTTTTAGAGGAACTCTGCTATAATCGCTGGAAAAAATTGCGCGACCGTTTTGCACGCGAATATCGTAATCATCAGATCAATCAATCGGCACCTATTACCTGGAGATATTTCAATGATCTGCTCTTTCTGGGTCGGCACTTTCGCAAGGGTGTGCCGCTGATCATCGAGAATATCAAGAAACGGGGCAGACCACCGAAAGTGGCTCAAGGACAAGAACAAACGGAGAAGAGGGTGACGAATCTCATTTGGGGTGCAGACTATCCTTATAGCACTGACAATGACCAGGACGAGGACCTGGAGGAGGAGGAACTAGAGGATGATGAGGAGCTACAGTATGAGCATCAACAGGATTTCGAGGTGCTGAACGAGACGGGCCACAAAGCGCATATGGAATTTGTACTCGACGAGCAGGATTTGTTGGAGCAAACAGAACTAGAAGCGGAGCAGCAGCAGCTACATCAGCAGCAGCTAGTAGGAGAAGAGCAGGAGACAGCTGTAGAGACAAGTTTAACAGATGCGTCAGTCTCTGATCCCTCAACCTCCTGCAGAGAGGAGGATCCAGCCTTACCCACAGCTGAAAAGCTAATGGGAACAGTTATCTCAAATATGGAGACCGTGCTACAACAGTCGAGGGATTGCCTTCAAGCTCTGCAACAGGCAGTTAATAATACGCCCGCACAGACATCAAAGAGCCTGCTAAGCAAGGTCCAAATGCTGCTGGATGGGCTGAATGTGGAGCAACGAAGGCAGGCGGAACGCAAAATTGTGCATTTTCTGTGTGAATGTCAGATAAAAACGCTGGATGGCCAGGAAATTGAGGATGTAGCTCCCTGTCACGTATTCAATTAATGAATAATTGCATTTAAGAACTGTAAATTAAATAAATGTTATTATATTTTTAGCGTATTTACATATATTCACATCTGTATTTATTCAGTGATCTATCAAATTCAAAACAAATTCAATTATCGGTAGCAAAGCGCGCAAAGTTATCGTTCACATACATTTCGGATTCGCACAATTGCGCTAGATGGCGCTGTAGTTTAAACAGAGCGTTAAAAATAATACAATTTAAATTAAATTTCATTCCTTTCAATATTTAAATAAAATATAGCATAAAAAAAGAGAATTACTTGAAAAACAGTTTGAAATAGACTAATATCGATAAGCGAGTGCGCACAACTATTGCTATCCGCAAACTTGCTAGATGGCGCTGGTGTGCATTTTTGAATGGTACGTTACGCACAAATGCCCAAGCCAAAAAAAAACAACAAAAATCAACGCCTACGCTTGGCATCATTTATTGCAATTAATAACGCACACACATGTTGGAGCAACACCAATGGCAACAATTATAAACAAATTGTTGGCATATCATGCGTTTGAGTTTTGTGTTTTATTATTATTATAATTTTTTTTTCGTGTAAATTCGTGGTTAAACATTCGGTTAAAATAGTTGCCATGCTCGATTCACACGGTGCAGTCCATTTGGCCGTTTTTGTTGCTGTACGTCAAAGAGCCGCCAAAATATAACGAATTATTAAAATAATAAACTTTGGCGCACAAAGCACTTTTTAAGTGTCTGTTTAAAGGCAGCGTGTGTTCGTCTATTAGTGTGTTCGTGTGTGTATGTATTTGTACGCCTTTTGTTTTAGCGCGTCATAAACTAATTTTATACAAATAAACGACGTCGACGTCGGCAACGTTTGAAGTTATGCGGATTTGTATCGCGGGATTTGTTATGGTATTTTCGCAACGGTGATTCCTTGTACATATCTACATCTGCATATAAGACATACATACATATGTATGTATGTATGTGTCCACGCACAATGTTGTGACACCTGCAGGTCTCATGGATAATGTGCTCGTATGTGGTTTACGGTAAATATCATAAGGCGCATTGCCATTAGCGCAGTCAACTTTGACGCCGACGGTGCTTTAATAGTTACATAGGAACACACATACAGACACAGAAAGGGAGAGAGAGAGAAACTCGTTTCAAACGCTTTCTCTCTTTTATGCTGCGTTCGGTGAGTAGCAGAACAGTTATTTATTAGCATGCATGTCGGTTAAAGCTCTCCACACAACTGAAAATACTCTTCACATTTAAAGCTCGAATAACCTTTGGCATGTGGGCGTGCGTGGTGTATGTGTGTGAGTGTGACAGATGAATCATTTGTTGTCTGTCAGTGGGCCCATCATTGGAGTCTACCATTCTCATCAATCACAGCCCGATTTAGATTTGCTCTCTTTCGCACTTTGGCACTTTCACCGAGCGAAGCAAATGTGTCAACCCTAACCTAGCACACACACACAGTGCTTACAATCTATTTACGTCTGTCTGCAGTGGGACTTGCAATTGTCTATGCGCGAAATTTTGTATAATTGCCAATTGCCACGGATTTACTCAATTGCCGCAGTGGCAACTGCGTCGGAGACGACCAAAATAAATACAAAAAAAAAAAAAAAGACGAAAATTAATTATGCGGCAATGTGTGCCAAATTAATTGTACATACGTGTGTATGTATGCATATAATTACATGCATGTAACATTGGACACATGTTCATATAATATACTGTGTGCATACACATAACAATACTTTCAAACAATACAAAACTCTCAATTTGCCTGCATATTTTCTATGTCTCTGCTGCTTTCCATACATATGCGAGTGTCTGTGTGTATATGTAAATCTCCGCATTGTTTTTGGCATATGTTTTCATATATATATATATGTATATGTATGCATGGTTTGCATTTCAATAAATACCTTTATGTGTATGCGTAGGAAGCAAGGTCTGAAAACATTTGGAATTTTGAACAAGCTGCGAGAGAGGTTCAAAAAGAATTTTAAAGCGGGAAATGGGGCTAATGAAGGCAATGTACTAGTTTTTGATAAATGTCACGAATGATAAGGCTGCCCTATATGTATACATAAGTACATATATACTTACTTGCACAGCATGCATAATTGGTATCATGTTATCATTTTTCTATCTTATGACATGGTCAATGAATCTGGATACGGATATGTGAAAATAGTATACTAGAATCTTTGATTTTAATGACTTCATAGACTTAGACACATACAATCATTTTACTTAATGATATAATGCTAATCTATTCTTTCTGAAGGGCTTTTTATCTGTCTTTGACATATCGAATGACTCGTGTGATATTCTATTATTATAATATGTACATTATATATATAAGAAATACATATAAAGATTATATTTTACACTCACCCCTTATGTCGCCTAGTGATATCGCCAAAAACCCCAAATGATAAATAGTTTTACTTAATAAATGCCATTTGATGTTAAACAATATTGATCGCTTTCTATAAGTTCCAAATAAATCACATAGATATCGTTTAAAGTTTAAAGTTAAAGTTTATATGAAATTGATATTGATATTATATTTGATAAAATGTATTATTTGTTATTTACTTCAGTTATTTGTTTAGTAAGATGCCACGACTATCTTTAAGGCTGCATCTTTGCTAAAATATCGCTTGAGAGTGAACTTTAAAAAGTTGGAACTAAAAAAAGCCATCAGCATTCTCTTTTAGTTGTGTAGCTCTTCTCACAAAGCTTCCACTGAAAACTCTTTCAGTTATGCACATACCACGCCCGCACGCCCTAATCATGTTTTAAGTTTCGAGGCAACATCACGTGTCACGTCACGTATGGAATGCTGCCATTTACGGGTTACAGACAACGGACTACGGGATACGGGCTGTGGGCTGTGTGAGCCCCTCGCACACCAATCAACCGACCAACAAACCAACCATTGTGTAGGCTCTGAGCCACTGCAGCAACATTTTGTTTTATAGCCAAATGCCAGTTGGTTGCAAGCGCCTCGCCACGTTTGTGGGCATGCTCTGCATTTTGCATGACCGCAAAAGAAGAAGAAGAAAAAAAAAATAGGTTGAAAACAATTTGCAATAAAATTGCAAGCAGCGGCTACGGCTCAACCTCAACCTCAACCTCAGCCGAATGACCCAAGCCCCGTAAACAAAGAGCTGCGATGCGAGACGTATCTGCAGCATTGTCCAGCCATTGAGTGGCTGCTGCTGCTACTCCTGCTGCTCCTGCCCAAACTCCTGCCAGCTGCAGTTGCTGATGCGAGCTTTGAACTTTGGCGCCATTTTGCTGACCGTTCAGTCAAGCGAATAAATTTTCGCTTTGTTACTTACAAAAGGCAGACG